TTTTCATCTTCCGGTTTACCTATTCTTGGTACCTCTGAATAAGTTAACAAAGCGAATTATTCCATCCTAAATGAATACGTAATTTCAAAATATATGTGTTAACTAATAACAAAAGGGCGAGTATTTTCGCGACCTGTTGCAATAATATTCATCTAGATCCTTTGTATAAATAAACTGGTCAACATTGAATTCAAAATAGAATAACTCACGAATTCCCTCACCAATTTGAAATCGGTTTCCACCGATGATTAGCTTAATCTCTTGAAATTTTGTTGTAGCGATATGAAACATCTGTAATTTCGGATAACATTGCTACAGGGTGATAATTGAATGGATGTAAAATTGCATGTTGGTCGTCACCTTAACCTTTGAACAGGTATTTTTTTAAATTCTTTTTCTCACCTGTATCCTCTTGATTGATGCTTTCTCTCGAAACATTTTTGAAATTTTCAAATTCAGAGCTTTGATAATCGTGTTATGAATATTCATTCAAAATTATGCATTTTTTCGACGATTAATTGAATGATATTGGAAGTTGGAATTCTTTTTCGAAGAATCAACGTTATAGTCGTCGGATATGTGATTGTGTTCGAACACAGAAAATTCTGAAGAAGTCTATACAAAGTGATACAAGAAATACTGAATGATGGAATGGAGGGTAACATAGTCTTCAGTAGACTAAACATGATTTTTTCTAAGGTACTAGTGGAATAATGGAGTGTTACTTTGTCATGAGGATGTCTGGTGTCTGACCTCGGAATGGTTTTGTAATTTTTCGGATCGAAGGTCATATAATGAAGGAACGCATTTTTAATCAAAATGATGCATTGATTGGATTATTTCAAACGATTACGGAGATATTCGCATTCGGAGTTTCCATAAGCTCATTGAGTGTGATGACGCAATATCGAATCTTCTTTCTCTGTCACACTCATTGAGCTTATGGAACTCCGAATGCGAATATCTCCGTAGTCGTTTGAAATAACCCTATCAAACCCGGTATTGTTGAATTCGTTATAATAATCTCTGAACTGATTATGGAATAAAATACAGGGTTTTCTGTTTGAAAATCGAAAGTTGATGTCTTTTCAAGGAAAACCGGAAAATGACAAATAAATCCGGAAATGTGAAATAGTTTCCTCTAGTGAGTATATTCGATGTTTCAAATTTCAGAAATAAAGTTAAAAAAACAAAGGAGAAAAGTGGGGTGTACCATGAGTCAGTTTCACCCGGTATAGTCTAAAAAAACACTTACCATCTTGAAAAGATATAACTTTCACACACTCGAATGAAAATGCAATCACTAAGCACTAAGCCGAATATGAATTCCAGTTTTCCACTCTTAAATACTTCGAGTTATTTTTTATTATCACTTGAATCGACCGTACACGATGAAGTCTAGAACGAGACTGCTGATTGGTTTGATTCATCATTCAATACATGACTAAATAGTTACGTCATCCTTTCAACCGATTAATTCCCGAACAAGTATGACTTATTCCGATATCGATAGTAGGTATACAGAGTGGAGTGAAAATAAATTTAAGGATATTTTATACGAGGTGTTTTCGAAATGAGTTCTTATGTTCAGCAAATCAATGAAATATAGGCTAACCGATATTCTCATGATATCAGATTTTTGCTAATTCTTTTAATTAACGAGAAATTTGATCTTAAAAATTTTATAAAAATCGGAAATAAAAACTGAGTTTTATTGAATCCTCTCCTGAAGATGCTAACAAAGTTAGCAAAATACGCGTCGAGATGTAAAAAATTGGTTGAGTTAGTGGTAAAATAGTGTGTGCTGAAACTATCTTACAAAATTTCATAACAGTGTTGCCAATAGTTCCAACATAATCGTGAAAAATATTTCTAATGATTGTTTTGTATGAATAAGGATGCCGTTACGAATTTTTTTTACCGATCAAACCCAACTCATTTTGTAGTCTTCTGCCTATCCTAGCAAACATCCTGTATTTTCCAGCTATTTGCGATTGTGGTAGAAAGGTGGGCCCCCGCGAAGACCCGTACAACGCGAAATAGGCCAACCACCATAACTTCCATGAGAAATATAAATTTTGAAGAAATGTTAGAACTGAATTGAATTTTAGTACGTAAGTGATACAATGAATATGAAAAGAAACACCATGATGAGATATGAAGTAGGAATACGTAAAAAAACTCACCATTGTGGAGGTTAGAAATTCTTTTCACATCATGAATTACGTTCCGTGAATAATCCTGTAACAAAAGAATTAGATTATTATCGATATATTCCTACAAGACCGAGTTCAAGACAATATGTCAGTTCTTTCAAACGTTGATATTTCGAAAACTATCAAATTTTGAAGTAATGTGTATTAAATAATTGTTGAAAATCATGATATTTCGAAAATGGAATAATATACGGGGTATTCCATTTGAAAAAATATTTGAAAATGGCACTGAGCCATCATCTATTCGAGCCCTCCAAATTTCGTTGTGAGTGTGTATTTAGATCTATGGTTTGTTCAAAGAAGTGTATGTGACAGGCTATTCTCAATGATACTTTCAGTAACACCTTATTGAGCAGAAAAATGATAAATCATCTCATCAGTGTCATATAAGTTAAGTGCCTAAGCAGAACAAAAAAATGTAGATACATCAAAGTACTCCCCTTCTATATAATCCTATATTTCCGGTTCACAGAAATGACTGAATTCTCCTTATGTTTTTAGTTAGGTGGTATTTCAAATATAAATTCAGAATATGTAGTTAGGAGTAGTAAGACTTGAATGGTAACTTGGTGCTGTGCACTACTGCATCATCAGGAACAAAAGGGTAATCAAAATGGATCTGACCTTATGTGTCTGCATAGCATGTAGTGCTGATCTGTCCTTTACTGCCAGTGAACTCCAACTTCATAATCCTGGTCGGTACAGTTGAAAAAAAGGATCTCCTGGACCTTCCTAGTCATCCTTCGGCATCATGATATTCCAACAGGGTGGGATCGAGAGAATAGTCCCCAAAGGTTGGCAGGAAGATGGCAGAAGAGATGCCCATCTTGCCTACTTTCGGTAGAGAAGAAGGAAATCAATGATTTCCTAGAGCTTCCTGCACACTCAGAAAACAAAACCGTTCATGAAAAACTGTTTCAAATTAGAAATAATTCACTGCGCAAGTACAGTTGGAATCTTGTCCAGTTAATGAATGTTACCAACAGAAGTTATTAAAATACCTAGATTATCTAAGGAAATTGTCCCATTGGGCCATTGGGCCTTTGCCAGTCTTTGAAAGGATTGTGAAGTTAGGCCCGACACGGAACCAAAGTACTATCGGTCTAACCACAATGTTGCCAGTAGGCCGAAAATACAAGAAGCAGGAAATAAATCCACAGTGCTGTGGCCGAAGCGAAATAGGTCGCGTGCACGATGACCGACCCTGGAGGCAAAATATTGAAACACAACCTCACTCTTCTGTGAATTATTGAAACACAACCTCACTTTTTAAATTGTTTACAGAGGAATCAAAAGGTTGAAATAGTTTTTCACAATATTTTGGCATATGAATCGTGTTTCTTGCGTTATTCATTAATTCTAGCATGCCTTGGCATTGTGCTGTTGTACAATGCACAAAAAATGCAGCAAGAGACTAGGGAATATGATTTTTCAGGTAAATAGTAATCTCACATAGTTATAATTATAAAATGTTGTCATTCCTTATTAAAATTCCTTCTGCCTTCTGCCACTTCTGCAATAAAACCTAATACTGCTAATAGATTGAAAATGTCTACAACACACACGATCGTCAGCATGTCAGACCAGTCCTCCCGATTGATTGCATGAATCCAATCTTCTTGCATTATTCTAGAAATTTCAGGTATATTTCTATTAGCTCTTATTGCAGAAGGAATTACGATGAGAAATCAGAGAAATAACCAAATTTCAAAAATGAAAACTATGTGTGAGTGACTATAGTAGGTAGGTACTTACTTTTAAATCATAATGTACCATCGGGATTCCTTCATCTCTCGATGCAGTTTTTGTGCATTTTACAACAGCACAATGTGATGGCATGAGCGAATTGATGAATAGCGGAAAAATACGATTCATATGCCGAAATAATTGTGGAAAACTATTTCGATCACTTGTAAACAAGCAAGAATAGTGACGTTGTGTTTCAAAGTTTTGCCTCCAGCGTCGGTCATCTGACAGTTCTTGCACGCAACCTATAACCTAATGCTTCACATAACCAATTGACTGTCAGACTGGAACTGAAATATGGATGTTAACAATTACAACTACCTCAAACATAAATTCCTGTGGATCCATAATCAAATTGAAAACAGCAAGGATATATCAATCTCCAACAGGTCTGTGAAATTGTGCACTTGAACTCAATCAGTCAACAGCAACTAGAAATGTAAATCGTTTATCATTACAGCTATGATGAAGGACAGATCAACACCACTGCTATGGACACCTGGAAAATACAATCCTGAAACTAATATCAAGTTACACCGGGAAGACAAAATAATCTTCCAGTTCAGCTCACAAGGGGTCCAACTCCAACAGGATATTCACATGCCATAGCAAAATGTAAAGTGCGCAGTCACGTAATCTATTGAGCATTTCACATGATCATGATATACTGAGTGTTACTCTTGTTTAACTTAATAACAAACCCATATAATAAAGGTAAAAGAGGAAGATCACATGTTACAGGTTATTTTGTGAATCCAGAGAAAACCAGTGATATTTTCAAATTCCGGTGGCATGCTAGAAATGGTTCTCCTCTCTACGCATACATAACATGAGGAAACTAATTATCAATTAAATGGAGTGGTGGAGTGTTCAGTATGGGCACACGTACGTAATCTGAAAAAGAAAACTCCTATACGAAAACGACCATATACAGGTTCCTCAAGAGAGGAGATATGTCTTCGATCATTGGAGTGAATGAGAACAAAAATGGAAGAATGGCGACTACGACTAATTTAAATAACACCAATACTACCACCATTCTCCTCCAATATCTATTTCGTGCTCACTCTACATCTTTTATTAACAAAATTATCCCTATACGATCTCCGTCTTGGTCTTTTGTCTGTGATTCCTTCTGATAGGATCCAACGAAATTTGTTCTTCTCGCAGTAAGCAATAGCCTCTTGTTTGCTGGTGAATTGCAATTTCACATTGGACATCGGATCCCCGCTTGAACACCATCCGATATTGGGATTCTCCCATCTCTCTTTCGTATCGAAAGTCAACTGCCAATGGTGCAAGTTATTGGTTCCGCTTTGCATAACGTTTCTGGATGGTTTTGATATCTTCGCCGTGCGATCTCTCAATATATCCTTGGGAATTTCCTTCAGCAGACTCATATCCGTGTCTCCACTTATCGGTATGGTGATGGACTTTGGTATTTCAGGTGCTTCATCTATAGCTTTGGGCACTGATTCCTTCTTTACTTGTTTGTCAATCTTTGCTGTCTCATTCTTGTCACTACAATTTTTGGAACATAGGCGTTTTCTCAAATTGTGAGAGAGAAATGGTTGCAGTAAAATTATAATTTTGTTTGATGACATCGCGAGTGGAGGTAAATAAATGAATTTGTTGTCTTCTATATGACACCTCGAACTGTTGTTATTTCTACAGTATGTATCATTTTAAATAGCTATTAGCAAACATGGGTTCGCTAACCATGGGTGCGCTGAAGTATTTATTTCCATATGGAATAATACAGTGAACTTCATGATTGAATATATAAACTTTAGTGGATGCAGCTAGAGAATATACAATTCCACTGGATTTGTACAACAACTATAAAATTATGGATTGATGAAGTTCATGCATGATCCAAAGACACTTCATATATAAAGGGTGTCTGTAAAAATATTTCACAGAATCCTAGCACATACCCGGAAAGGTCATGTCGTAAATGCTAGAGAAAAAAATGTCTATCAGACTTCGTTACGGAGTAAACCCCGAAAGTTTGAATAAAAAAAACTTCATGTATAATTTTTAAACGATTGACATGGTATCAATGATATTCGGGCAACTACATTAACTTATACTAATGCTGCTTTCGATATGTAAACGGGTGTTCAGTAATTATGCTTTATACAGGATGAGATGATTAGTATACCTTATTTTAATCGATATATTTGGTATGTACCTTTAAACATACTTTCCGAGATACTTTCCAACCGTTTCGAAGGTAGGTAATAAAAACATCATGATAGTTGCAGTCATTGTCATAATTATTGACATCAAATCATTTCGACAATATTTAATACTTTGGTAAGACCATGGATGAGTTTAGTCATGATGAAGTTTGCAAAAAATTTTCAATTTCAATAACTCCGTGACGAAGTGAGATAGACATTTTTTATATGAAGTACTAACAATATGTTGAATCTCTCTATCAGCCCTATCATTTACTACATGACCTTACCGAACACCCTGTATCTCTCCTATCAAAATGAATAGATTCAAGTAAATTAATACCCAGTTGACCAAAACATGCAACAACTTTATCACTGCTGCATTTCAAATGTGCCATGTTTTATCACAGAGATGTTCCCATCAGAGATATAATAGCAAAGATGAATGTCCGCCTCAGATGAAATCACAGACTTATATCAGTGATGCAACACCGGACTTGAACAAGATATGCTCCTGTGAGATCACAGTGATGAATATGTCTCTACATAGCTCTTTCCATGGAGCATGCCAGAGACGTTTTTGACAAGTCTCTGCTCTGCATTGGCTCCATTCCTAATCATCAATAATTTTACACTGGTTTTACCAGTACTTGTATCAATTTGAAATGCAACACCAAGATATTCAGGATATATTCATGGAATTATAATTGTTGAAATTGAAAAATAAGTGAAAATACCACTAAACACATAAAAATGTGAACTTGAATCCAATCCATAGACAATTTAGTCAACAAACCTCAAAACATTAGTGAACTATAAATATGATATGATTTTCTTCCATACTCCTTTATCTATTTCAGTCTGTGGGATTTTCACCTGCACATTATGTCTCTTCAAAGTGATGCTTAGAAAAGTGATGATTTATTTTATTGGGAGATCATTGTTTCGTTTTTATTGGTCCCTTCAAACATTTTTTCATGGGAATTTTTCAGCTGACTACAACTAGAACAAATAATATTTAATTACAAAAAATGTATATAAAATGAGTATGTCATTATTGTGAAAACCCTCATTTGAAGAGAATCCAGAACTGTTCTCATCAGAATGTTGATCAATTTTGACATGAGGTCTTGCTTGAGGTTCAACCTGATGCCTATATACTTTTGTATGCTTTCTAAATTAAAATTGATAATTTTCCTCTTCAATTATATCTGTAATATGTATCACCTCCTCACAAATTCTTTTATAGGTTTCTTCAATTTCAGGAGGAAGAGGATAAAGTAAGATATGTTTATTGCACTTTTGCTGGCATTGCAAAAGGTCTCTTGAACACCAGCTTAAATAACTTACTTATACCACAGTTTCTTATACTGGTACTGATGACTTTTATATTCACTCGCATCAGCAGAGGCCTTCGAATTCATCTCGAATCTCTGTGCCGATGAATAAAAGAAGCTGATGGTGATTTTGGTGAATGATAGCGGATTATTTTCGTTCTGCTGAAAGTTTATAAACAAATACTTTAGTTTCGTTTGGTAACAGAGAGACCAGAAAAAGTGAGGTTAGGAAATCACAGCAAAGAAGAAGCTCAAAACTTGCTATGACATTGTTCGTGGTTCGTGGTTGTTAAACCACAACTTTGAATTTCACCTACTTCAAACTCACAATAACAAGATCTCAATGTAACATGAATACCCATTTAATACATATAGTACAAGAACGAGTTCTATTATTGATGCAATTTGCATCAGTACAGTTTCAGAACGTTGTGATACCACAAAGTTCTTTAATTGATCTATATTGTGATGACATCGAGGATGCCTCAATTTTATCACGTCGATAGAACGTATGATGAAACTAAGTTCTTCAATTGATTTCCTTTGTGATGACGCCTGGGCTGCCTCAATTTTATCACGTCGATAGAACGTATGATGAAACTAAGTTCTTCAATTGATTTCCTTTGTGATGACGCCTGGGCTGCCTCAATTTCATCACGTTGATTGATCGTATGATGAAACAAAGTTCTTTAATCGATCTCCTTAGTGATGACGCCTGGGATGCCTCAATTTTATCACGTTGATAGAACGTGTGATGAAACAAAGATCTTCACCTACAGCCCCTATAGAAAGTAGGCAAGAACACACGAGATACAGCCTCAGTATATAAGTAGCTCTTCACGCACATAGTAAGCTCATCGCACAGCCAGTATAGGTATGTCATGATCGCGTAATCGCCGTCAACAGCGGATGACATAACTGTCAAGAATTATAATTCAGAGTGTTTGTCCAAACTTTTTTGATGTATTATATAGCAGTAGGTAAAGTATAGTACGTAATGCGTGTTGTAAAGCAATTACGCACTCATGGATTTACGCACTCTTCGCTCCGCGGCTACGTGCGTAACTTTTCCATTCATGCGTAATATGCTTCTTACAACACATATTACGTAATATACTCTTGATTGCTCCCTTTTGTGATGACGCCTGTGATGTTTCAATTTCATCACGTTGATAGAACGTGTGATGAAACAATAGTTATTTGTTTTACTAGGCAGAAAATTACAAGATTCAATCCGCGGCTGGCGTTTCATAGCCGGAGTCTCCAGGTCAAACCCTGGTGGTATATACAGGGTGATTCACATAAGAACCGACATAGAGCAGGGGCATGTAGGGGGTCCCAAAATATGGCAATTTAACGCAACTTACCTTTATACCAAGTTGCTTCCCTAAGGAGTTGTAGGCTTTCAAAGTAAAGTTATAAATTTTGAAAAAAATCAATATCTCAGTTATTCTTGAACTTAAAGCAACCAAATTTGGTACCCTTTGTGGATGTATTTAGGGCGTTACTTCACAGTAACTAATGTTCAATTGAAATTTGTAGAGGGGGTATACCGGGTGGCGCACCATTAATATTCAACAGAATTTTGTCAACCCTCGATAGATTTCAAAAATCTTTGCTTTGTTTTGTGGGCAATTCAATTCTAAAACTTTTCTTGGTTCAGTAATTTCTCGAAAAACCTCATCATTTTCATCAAAAACTCGAATAACTGAAAACGCGTGCTCTAGGTGTGTTATTTAAAATCATCGAAAATTCAAAAGTTGTCTATGAAAATAAACGTCAAACTTGACAATGAAGCAAGTAAGTTGTTCAATTAAGTAAGTTATCGATAAACAATTGTTTGTTCTGGTTTTTGTTTGAGTTCTTGAGTTTATTTTGGTTAGTTGTTAATCCGAGTTTTTCACATTTCAGTATCTGTACTTACTTTACGTATTTTGTTACGTATCTGAATAATAATTTGCCAGCCAATATCTACTGTTCACAATTAATGATCTACTTTCTTGTTGTACATACGTTTATTCTCATAGCCAACTTTTGAATTTTAGATGATTTTAAATAACACACCTAGAGCGCGCGTTTTCAGTTATTCGAGTTTTTGATGAAAATGATGAGGTTTTTCGAAAAATTACCAGAGTAAGGAAAGTGTTAGAATTGAATTGCCACACAACAAAGCAAAGATTTTTGAAATCCATCAAGGGTTAACAAAATTCTGTTGAATAATAATGGTGCGCCACCCGGTATACCCCCTTTACAAATTTCAATTAAGCTCTAGTTACTGTCAAGTAACGCCCTAAATACATCCACAAAGTGTACCAAATTTGGTTGCTTTAAGTTCAAGAATAACGGGAATATTGATATTTTTCAAAGTTTATAACTTTACTTTCAAAGCCTACAACTCCTTAGGGAAGCAACTTGGTATAGAGGTAAGTTGCGTTAAATTGCCATATTTTGGGACCTCCTACATGCCCCTGCTCTATGTCGGTTCTTATGTAAATCACCCTGTATATATTATTATATTGTATATTAGCAGCTGCATATCATAAAGTTTTTTATTTGTCAAGGATAAAAAAACAATTTTTCACAGGGTTTTTTTCACAGATACCCTGTATACATTTTCGCATTTAATATTGGAAACGAATTCCCATGAATGGAGCCAGTTTTGTCACCATGTTTATATACGGGGCGCCAACTCTTTTGGCCTAAATCATTCATTACCTACCACATTTACTACTAGCACGTAGACCTAATAGACACCCTTATTTTGTATACAAACGTCATGTTGATTTGTTGAAACTTATAAACATATCTCTTGGCAGTTTGGAGCACCGCAAAGAGTAGCTCAAACCCATCATGGCCCACCCAAAATTTGTCGAATATTATTTAGTCAAAGATGAGAAACTTATAAAAAGACTCCTACAAAGGTAATTAAACTGTCAATATTAGTCCAAGCGACACATATATTCTAGGGAGGATGTCGAAATACACTGAGAAAACATACCAAGTTGTGAATGTTTCTTATGATGTACTTTTAATTATACAGGCAGAGATGGGAGAGAGAGAGGAGTAAAACTTGAAGGACTTTTTCTTAGCACAGCTCATTATTAACATAAGTTGGTATATGTGTTCATTTTCTACAAATTCATCAAGTTGTTAGTCAGGAAAAGTAATATCGTGATCACTAATGAATCCTAAAATTTGTCATCGTCAGAGGATTATGTTTTTATTTTAATATCAACTACTGCTTTGAGAATCATCAAGTTTCACGAGGTATAT